CTCGAACTGATTTGCTGAAATCAAAACAGGGACGATAATAGGTGAAAACCAGCCAATGAGATTGCTGTTTGCGCATTAGTTCCGCCCACTACTGGAGAAAGCGGTAGTTCTTAAAAGCTGAAGAATTCCAAAGGAACTCCGTTATTTTTACAGCAAAATATAACAAAGAATATCGTTTACATGTAGCACGCATAGGTAGCGCGTCAATTCTCTCTCTTAGCTTTGTCTCGGTTTAGGAGTGTTACCACTAACTGCATCTGCACACAGCTGGGCTACCTGATTCAGATATACAAATTCAGAGTTTCCTTGGAGCCAAAAAGATGTGATGTAAATGTAATGCTGTGACCCTGTGAACTTTAGATCATTGGTGGAGGCAAATGACTGTCAGCATTAGTTGCTGCTAACCCCGAACGTCTCCCTTTCTTCTCTTCCTTCTCACCACATCCTGTGTGAACAGTTGTAAAAGACCCACCTCTATTTGTCCTCATTACAGGAGTACTAACAGCAAGATTGTGCTAAATGTCATGAGACGTAGAAGTATTTTAGGTAGGTCCATCTAATATATTTTTTATGTTATTCATTTATTTCGTTATTATTTCACATATGTCTATAAATGTATTAGTTTCAGTTCAGACAATCAGAACAAAATGTTCAAGTACCTTCGTATCAGTTTATTTAAATCTGTTTGTTGAACCTTTTGAAATGACACACCACTGTTAGCTAATGTGTGATGCAAATTTAAAAATGTCCCTTGACATGGCAGCAGGAACTGTGGAAACATTAGCAATGAGTATTTTTTTTTTCAATCTGTGTGCTGCTCACAGTATACAAACACCTATGTTTTTCATACCACAACATTTCAACTTTCAAATACTATGTATGTGTCTACCAGCACATTAAACAATTTAAACTAATTAAGGTATTGGCCATATATTGGCTGGCTGGCAGGGAATATTCTGTACACAATTTTGTGCATCTTTGACCTCAGGCCAATGATCACATGAGTTGAATCAGGTGTGTTTGATTAGAAACATCTAAAAAGCAGCCTTGGGGGTTCTCCAGGACCAGGATTGGGAATCACTGCCTTACAATAAGGACTCATTTTTTTACATTAGTTAATGCCTTAACTAACAATGAACAATTAATTTTTACAACGTTAGTTGACAGTGCATTAACAAATACACCCTTATTATGAAGTGTTACTTAAAACAAAAAAATGTTCAAAATGCAAATATTGTAATTGCTGAATGTTTAGTGCTGCTACCAGCAAGCATTTCTCAATACCATTTGTGTCTGTCAGTCACTGTGACTGTCTTATAACTTCACAGGATAATAAAATCTGAATGCCAAGAATCAAATCTAAGAAATAAAGTAGAATTTATAAATAAAGTAAATGGATGCAATGTTGGTTGTAGGTTAATTAAACATCCTACATTAAAACAACTGAATCACTTTCATGAGCATTAAAACGTAATTATGGCCTTTCCCATTCTCTATAGCAGTTAAAAGGAAATCAAGACAGTTTTGCTGATGAGAAACCAGATATTTCCAAGTTAATCTCCTCCAAATTAATAATGGATGAGGTTACATGACTGGCTGATTATTACTGAAGAGGCTAAGAGTAGTTAAGTTCTCATCCACATAAAATATGCATATATTAATCGATTCATCCATATATACATATGTTAAATGGTTCGTTTTTAACTGTACTGCGTGAGATTTAATAGATTTAAGATACAGCCATACACAAGAAATGGTCCATTTAGTACAAACTTTTCTTCTTTATTTTGCCATTCTTCCATATTTTTTTTAATGAAATTCAGTCCTGCATGTAACGAATTCAATTCAAACTCAAAAGTTGAATTCACGTGAATTCCCCAACACCCTTTCCTCAGCATTCAACACAAACCAAGGGGCTCCGCCCACAACCAGCCACGCCCCCAGTCATTTATGGCCACACCTCTTGAAACCCAGGAATGTGAAGTGATGCATCGAAAAGAACCATAACAAAAATAAAAGAAGAAAAAACACAGCAACAACAACGGGAGGAGAAGCAAAGACCTGATCAGGCACAAACTGTGAAACAATGAAAGTTGACAAGAACAGCCCTTTCAACAAGGGTAGAGGAAAATAAAACAGCCTGGTAATGAGTATGATATTATCTAGTCACAGCACCTCCTAGAGGTCATGTTTCAACTTAATACCCTTGGTTTATACACAACAGAAATATAAAGCTTATAGACAATCACCCCCTACCTCCCTCCCATTCAAAAAAATAAAACAGTATTCCAGCCCCTTCAAAAATGTGGAGAAGAGCGCATTTTATGTGACCATCCGAAACATGGGCACAACAGTCTCTGCATATATGATCAGACGTGTGTTTGAGAGAGGAGGACAATGATGATCCCTAGTATTTCACCCCTGGCACAAACTCCTTGGCTTCAGGGTTTAAGATGCTCTTTCGCTGGGGAAAAAATAAAAGTACAAATCAATTAAAACATATCTGTCATAACAATGAGCACTAACTTAATATTTTATTGAAGTTTTTTTTTTGTCCATACAATGAAAGTCAATAGGCTCCAGTGTTGTTTTGGACTCCAATAGAGCGCAACAGTGCCCAACCACTATTTCAGAGGCCTTGGTTCTGGAAGTATTTTTCCCATAAGGATTATAAACAAGAAAAAAAGTCCTTGTTTATAAACCATGAATTAAACCATCCAGCTACGAGGTGAAACACAACACTACAAACTTTTATTTCAAGCAAAAAGTATAAAGCTCTTGAGTAATTATGTGTGTGTGTGTATATATATATATATATATATATATATTAGAGAGTAGGGGTGTAGGAAGAATGACTTTCCCCATGTTTTCGCAGTGCTTCATGGGAGTGGGCGGGGCTACACAGCTCTTTTGTCTAGATCTACTTGTTGTGGTTCTCTGATTGGTGGAGAATCCTTTTCAAAATCATGGGTAATGTGGTTTTTAACCAGGAATTTCTACTGTTAAATATGACTTTAAAATGTTTAAATAATGCAGGCTGATGGTTTCAACAAAAGCATGTAACATCCATTACCAACTTTGCAGCTTATAGTAGGTCTGTTTTAAAGGGTTTGTATGTTATCGCTAAAAATTAGTTGAACAAATGAATGTTAAATGAAAAAGATAAAACTTAATACTTCTGTAACACACCTGTTGCACTCTATGACTTTCATTGTTTAAACAAAGACAGCTGAAAGAGTCAAAATATCTACTTATGTGTTTCACAGAACAAAAGGTCTTACAGGTTTAGCACGATGTGAGGGTGAGTAAATGATAACAGTTTGCATTTTTGGGTGATAAGCTGATTTTCCTAGTTTCTATACTGAATGTCCATGAGGACTTAAAGCTTACCAAGATTTCCTCTGCATTGCCATCACTGACAGAAAGTCCATTGAGCTGTTGCTGTATCTGTCCGACTGAGGGGAGGTCCCTCTCTGGAATGAACCAATCCTGATCCTCCTCATCCAACATCTCTTGGAAACAGCGCTCCAAAAACTCCTGCTCAAGCAATTCCTCCTCCACCTAGGATATACACAAATAAGACAAAAGTTCCTGTCCAAGTTTATTTAACAAAAGAACAAATAAATAAAGTGTAAAAACAATACATTCTACAATTTAACATCTCAAGAGCCACAGAGTGAGATCCAAAAATGGTCGTAAAACAAAACTATGAACTTAAAGGATTAGTTCACCCAAAAATGAAAATTCTGTCATTAATTACTCACCCTCATGTCGTTTCAAACCCGTAAGACCTTCGTTCATCTTCGGAACACAAATTAAGATATTTTTGATGGAATCTGAGAGCTGTCTGACCCTGCATAGACAGCAACGTAACTGAAATGTTCCCAAGTCCAGAAACATAGCAAGGAGATCGGTAATATAATCCATGTGACATCAGGGGTTCAACCGTAATCTTACGAAGCTACGAGAATACTTTGTGCACAAAAGAAAAAAAAATACTTTATTCAACAATTCGTCTCCTCCGCATCACCCTGGTGCGCCATTTTGGAGAATATCCGCCGGACGTAAACAACGTATGCTGTTCCGTGTCAGCTGCGTCACGCCGGATCTGTTTCCTACGTTGTTGTGATTTGATCTGAACGGAAACAGCGTATCCGTGTGACGCAGCTGACACAGAACAGCATACGTTGTTTACGTCCAGCGGATATTCTCCAAAATGGCACGAGGATGATGTGGAGCCGACGAATTGTTGAATAAAGTCGTTTTTTTTTTTCTTTTGCGCACAAAAAGTATTCTCGTAGTTTCGTATAATTGCGGATGAACCACTGATGTCACATGATTATTTTACAGATCTCCTTGCTACGTCTCTGGACTTGGGAAGATTTCAGTTGTATTGCTGTCTATGCAGGGTCAGACAGCTCTCAGATTCCATCAAAAATATCTTAATTTGTGTTCCGAAGATGAACGAAGGTCTTACGGGTTTGAAACGACATGAGGGTGAGTAATTAATGACAGAATTTTCATTTTTGGGTGAACTAACCCTTTAACTGGGGATCACTAACACAAAAGTATAAAACCCATCCTGATCAACAGCTGAGTTTGTGTTTTTATGGTGTGGGCTTGAAAGGGCTGTAAGTGGGTTTGTGTGTGTATAGACCTGCCGATTGTATTCCTCCTCGTTCTCCATCCACATGTACTCTGCAAAGGGGTTGGACTCATTCTCTGCATGCCCATTGGCTACTGGGTCTTTTCCCTCACTTCCTGGAACTCCGCTGCCCGCCATCTTTCCTATGTCAGCCCCGTTCATTTCTGCTGGCTCTAAAAAAAGATAGACACATATTTTAGGGATGTATACTATAGAAATCATGTCTAATATTGATAGCAATAACAAATTCAATATAGATAGATTTTTTTTTTTTTTGATAACCAATATGAGCAACATTAGCATTCTGTATATAATTAGACATCAAAAACATAAAAAAAAGACATCAAAACCAAAATACAACAAAAAAAAAGGTACTTTTGAAATCTAGGGTGTGCAAAGTCAGCAAATTGTGAACTAATATACAACCGGTCTAATAAGACTTTACTAAAAAGACACACACTAAAAGGTGGACAACACCTATATATGCATATTGCATATGTGAACACATATTGAGTACAATTAAGTCATACACATCTACAATACTGTTTAATGATTTGGGATAAGTAGAATAAAAATTCATGTTTTTGAACATTAACCCCCGGTTTCATAGACAAGGCTTAAGCATAGTCTCAGACTAAAATGCATGTCTGTTCTGTTTTAACTGTCAGAAACTTGCACGGACATATCTTAAAATATGTTAGTATTATTGATTTGTCTCAAGATGCACACCAGTAATGCTTTTTCTAAGGCACGTTTATAAAAGATAATGTCCTAATTAGATCTATAACCTAATCCTGGTTTAACCTAAGCCCTGTCTTTGAAACCAGGCCTAAAAGTCTTTTATATGCAACATTGCTGCATTTATTTGATCAAAATACAGTAACAAGTAATATTGTGAAATACTATCACAATTTAAAATAATTTTTTATATTACTATCCGTTTAATATTGCTATTTATTTCAGTTATGTGAATGAATGGTAAATATAAAAATTAAGAATAAATGAGTATTTCGCAATAATTTGTTAGGATAGGAATTGAGCTGAGAAACCAGTTAACTTATGACAGAAAAATAAAAGGCTGCTGAAGGAGTCACAAGCTGAGCAGCTGTTTATATACTGTAACGCTTGAGACAATAGCATAAAGCATATCATAACACTTAAACACAACCACAACTACTCACTGTGTACATGAACTACTGGTGCATGTACAAGATCATGTTCCATAATGACGCAACATGGCTGAACACTCAACCTGTTCGCCTGCAATAGATGATCATCTAAGACTAAATTAATAAGAGAATAAACAAAACACACTAACAATACATGTAATGCACATTTCCAAATATATACACTAATAGTTGTTTTTGGTATGAATTCCTCTGATTTGGAGTTGATATTTTGGCAATAAACTATGCATTCTTGCATGATTTAAACCATGTATCCTGCCCTCCCCCCCCAAAAAAAATCTGATCAACCAAACACATAACTCAAAACATATGCATGTTTGCTATCAGTTGCAGATGTTTACAGTAATACCTGCTGTAAACACTAGAGGGAACAGTGACCCTGATGCTTTAGGACAGGGGTGTCCAAACTTTTCCTAAAGGGGGCCGGATTGGACGATGTGGAAACACTGGGGGGCCGGATGCTTCTACCTATATATATATATATATATATATGTATATATGTATGTATGTATGCGTGCGTGTATGTGTGATGTTGAGTTGACAGTAGCAGTAGCTTGTGTTTTGTTGAGGACAAAAATCTGCAAATATCTTGTTTTTAAAGCTTTAATAATTATAACATAGAATGGCTTTATGGTATTTAATCTATTAACACATGAAAGCACAAACTGCATCAAAAATGTCTGTAATTTGGCCTATATTTCATAACTCCCTTACATTACATTAAATTGGCCTATATGTCTACATTAATTATATAAGAAGATTCTGTATAAATATGCAACATTTCTGCCACAATACCACAGTTACGGTTACTACAGTAAATCAAAATGTTGGTGATTTGTGGATTGAAAAGTATTCTTACTGCATTGTTGTCGCACAATGTTTTTCCTATTTTCCGCGTTAGTGTTGTTGAGAATGTCAGCGCTGTTTCATCTGCCTTTGACATATGTGGTTTGTATGGAAACCTCTGCTCCAAACTCAAACGCTTCTCACAGCGCTGTTTAGAGGTCTCGTGATCGAGATCAGTCAGCGCGTAAACGCATTTGTTCTGAGCTCGCGCTACGCCGTCTTTAGGCAGAGCTAACGGTCCGTGCAGCGCGGTTCAAACGAGTCGCGCTCTTCCACTTTTGACGCGTTTAGGAATTCGTGTGCGCTAAACAAATGAGAGCGCATATGAGTTATCAAATTGATATCACTCGCGTTTTACTGCTACATCTGGTCTAAAATTTAGTGCTGCCATCTTGTGTTGACATTTTGAAACTGCATAGGCCTATTTTGTAAATTATGCTTGGCGGGCCATATATAATATAGCCTATTAAGACAGCTGCGGGCCGCTTAACATTCATCCACGGGCCGCATTTGGCCCGCGGGCCGTAGTTTGGACACCCCTGCTTTAGGACAACAGATTAAGCAGTTAATTTCATATAATATTTAAAAAGATTACTTGGTTGCGTTTTATTCATGCGCAATAGGTATACACTAGCCTGCTGCATGGCAAAAATGGTCTTTTCCCCCACCAATCAGCTGTTTACACACATTGACTGTGTCTGAAGCTGAATGCTGCCTCTCACATATGGAGAGAAAGGCATTAAAGCAAGTCCGAATTTAATATTTGCATAAATTGTCACCAACTAAGCAGCATTCTTACTATTGCTGCAGCATGTGTGTACAATACATACGTACAATATGCTTAATATGCTTTTCCAATGTGATTATTGAACCACAAATAAAATCAGTTATGATTAGGGGTGTGACGAGATCTTGTGGCACGAGATCCGATGTGTCTCCGTGACGATCGTGAACGCTTTCCTCACGCAGACCTTTCAGATATATTTGCGTTACACTGGCTCGTTCACAAGTGGTGGTATGCAAGATATTTTATGTTCACATCAGGCAAGTGGCCGCATGATAAGCGGGAAAATTACGCAGTGTAGTCTTTATCCAGTCATAAAAACAGAATTCGCAGTTTAACGCGGAATGTGAAATAAAACGCTGCTTAGTATTTACTCTTTGAATTCAATATGCACTGATTCTTATTCAAGCTACAAAAGTTATTTAGGTAAGAGCAGTGAGTGATTTTCTCTTTGTCTTTTGTTAATGGCCCCAAATATTGCAAGTTGTAGCGATATGCATATATGTACATTATGTACATTTATGATATGTACATTTGCGATATTTCGATATACTGCCCAGCCCTAATATGGACTAGTATCTGTAAATATTAAGCCGCAAAAGTCGATTTAAATATGAATCCTGCATGTTCTGCCTGTCTCTGTTAATGAATGGCGCAGACGCGTGGTTTTATGAGAGGCCGTTCAAGACATTATTCAAACTTCATTCGCGCACACACTATCAAACTCTCTCATATACACTACTAAAAATCTCGTCTCGTCCTCGTGAACCCAGTCTCGTGGGATAAGTGTCTCGTCACACCCCTAGTTAGGATACAAAAAAATGTTGTTGTTTTTTTTACTGATAATTTGATCATACTGCCAAATGTTACAGCAGATTTAGGGTAAATCTGCAAAATAGCTGTTTTTACCAAAATTATAAATGTTATGATAAGTAAACACCAAGATGCACTTCGCTGAATTAAACATACACGCAATCGTGCGAAGACTAGTATATACACATAGAATACTACTGTTCAATTTGTGAAATAATGCCTACCATTAAAATTGAGCAGGCAATATGCAGTGTACACAGTTCGTAGCATTTTCATTTGCAACAACCACAGACTCACAGAACATTTGTGGCTGACTGGCTAATGTGTGTTAAGTTGGTGTATGAGAGATCAGAGATTTAAGGCTAAATAATAGCAGTGACATCACTGGAGGAAATGAGCTCATCTGTGAGTGATGACATGAGAGGATGAGCTACTGAGAGATCTACAGGGGCTTTAAACTCTCACTCACACACACGTCTGGTCAGCTATCCTTGTGGGGACATCCCATAGGCGTAATGGTTTTTCTACTGTACAGACCGTATATTCTATTGCCCTACACCAGGGGTGTCCAAACTACGGCCCGCGGGCCAAATGCGGCCCGTGGATGAATGTTAAGCGGCCCGCAGCTGTCTTAATAGGCTATATTATATATGGCCCGCCAAGCATAATTTACAAAATAGGCCTATGCAGTTTCAAAATGTCAACACAAGACGCTCCTCCATTTGGGGACGTGGAGGAGCGCACGGGAAAAAAGGGCAAAACAAAAACTGACAAAAACCGGAAATCAAACCCGGGGAAGGGATGTCGCTTACAGTTCGGTCCGATGTTCTGTCACGGGTGACACACACACACACACACACACACACACACACACACACACACACGACAGGCAATAGGTAACAGAGACCATAACTTAAACAAGCACATATGAGGTTTCTGAAAAAAAAAAGTTCATCTGCAATGCTGGACCCACTGTTATTTGTTATTTTGGAACTTGCAAGTGACTTTTTGGGTTTGGGTTAATCCATTAACATTTTGCAGCCTAAATCCTTGATTAAAAAGAAATAAATAATACAGAATATTATATCACAATCTGCCACCTGTCCAAATACTGGTTCAGACAGACAAGTAGGCCTATACACTAGTTGGCAGATCTAGTGATCATGGCTGTACCGAGTATTTACAAATGCATGCACTGCTTCACATAGTGTACAAGGGCAAAACAAATCAATGCTGCAATCTCTAATGTTTGAACAAACACAAGCAAACATGTTAGCATGAACAAACTGTTTCAATGCATAACATACATATACAGTTACTAATAAACTCAGCAAAAAATAAATGTCCCTTTTATCAGCATATTGTAATTTAAAGAATTTAGTAAAATCCAAATAAGCTTCACAGATCTTTATTGCAAAGGGTTTAAACAATGTTTTTCCATGCTTGTTCAATAAACAAACAATAATTGCACATGCACCTGTGGAACAGTCCTTTAGACACTAACAGTTTATAGTTGGTAGGCAAATAAGGGCACCGTTTACAATAACTTAGGAAAGTAAAGAGCCATTTCTACTCCCTGCCAGTTAAGTTTGTCTTGTGGAGTGCTATTCAGAGTTATGAGGTTCAAGCTTTGTTAGGATGCAGTCCACTGTCTTCCCACGGAGTTGCTCCCATCAGGTTTGTAGTCTGCAAGAAATTGAATTCCTGTGTTCTCCAATCAGGCATAAAAACATGAACTCAGGCCTTGATTGGACTTTATTGTTGTGTCAAATGTAATAAAACTTCCTAGTTTTATGGACATTGCCTTCTTTGATATTCCTTCAGTCAGTGTTTGTTACAGGTGATAGTCACAAATACATGCTTGACTCGCGTTACTCACTGCTGTTACTCGGCTGCTGTGTGAAAAGCACATTTTGAGATTCACACCTGTAAATAAACACAGCTGTCAGTTCAAAACACTGACAGTGGGAACGTAGCCAGTAATTAGAAAAAATCCCTAATGTATTGGTAGAATGACCCAGCTGGGGGAGGCCATCCTTCTCACAATGCCCCATATTAAAACAAATACATACAAACGTTAATTGAACAAACAAATGTAATACATCCACACGGAGCATTTATAATACTGCACAACTAGACATTCCTTTTAACTCTCAGTTTCACTGCCAAAACTGTGCTACAAAATGTTAAAAAAAGACAACCTGAATCTCAGCTTGCCCTCATTTTTAAATATGGGACAAGGCCTAATCCCAAGCATCTATGTACAGTATCATAGTCCATTGTCATAAACACAGTTTATTAAAACTAGTGTCCTACTATCTACTGTTTTATGTTTTTTTTTTTTTTTTTGTGCCACTAAGCAATACAATGTTCAAAGATATTAGGTCAACAAATAACACCTTAGTCGAGATTAGAGAGAGTAAAAGTTTATCAACCCATCCAATAACTACAGATTCAAGATTCCTCCCTCACACCTACAGTACAAGAAAAGCAGCTAGGTCTGGACTCTGGACAACTCGGTCGATGTAACGAGCTGATCATGGCAGTGGTTATACAAGTTACATGTTCCCTTCAAACACAGTGATGAGCAGCATGTGTGATAGACTGCAAAAAACCTCAAGCTTATGCAACAACACCCTACTGCATGTGTGTTTATAGAGACACCACTGTCAGAAATATCAAAACAAAAGACTAGGCACAGTTAACCTTCCTTCTAGACAAGCATTCTGATATTGAGGCACTGGCTGATAAACAGAAAAAGTAAACAATTTTTTTTTTTTTTTTAAATGGAGCACTTTCAACATAATAAACGAGTTTAAACATAAAAGCATCAAAACGCAACGAAGTTCCCCGAAACAACCATATAAGCTAGTTAGCTTAGTAAACGTTACACCGTTTACTGCACGCGCTTTATAAACACTCTCAAGACAATTATGTAATCCACTTTTGCAGTAAGTTATACACTGAGAAAAGCGGGATAATTTAGAGGACAAACAAATAGCTCTCAGCAACGCGAATATAACTTACCTTCATGGCAGGACAAAGCACGTAACAATGAGAGTTAACTGACGAGAAAGGTCGTGTTGAAAAATGCAATGACAGCCCAAGTGGGCCACAACAACCCCCTGACATGACATTAGAGTTTATCCACAAGAACTTCATACACAAAGTCGCAAAATAACGCATTGTTAATCATGTAGGAGAAAAGCAATCCAAATTCACGAACAACCAAACAAGAACCAGTTTGCACGGTCATATTTGCCGTCGGAACCGCTTTTTAGACATTAAGACAGCGTCCAGTCAATGACAGAGACGCAGTGAAGTCTGGTCGAGACGTGCAAATACACACACACCGAGAGGAAAACAGTGCAAGCTAAAGACCGATCGATATATATCGTACCTGGCATTGCTGGCGCTTATAATGTCCGTCAGATCTCGCGGAAAGCTTCAGTTAACACTGTACGGAATGATTAATCCCTAATTTGCAAGGTAGTTGAGCTGAGATGAGATGGCTGACTGCCATTAGAGAAACACAACACATTACGAGCAAGATGGTCATGTGGTTCCTGCTTAAACAAACATGCATCAACCCTCTTCCCTCTGTGTTTGTCTCTTTCTAACACAAACGCATAAATTAAAAAATGCAGTTACTATGTAACCGATCGTTTGATCATTCGGCATTTTTATGACAATATGCAGGAACAGTGTCTGGAACATATTTTAAAAACATGCTTATTATAGTTTAGAAACAATACAACAACAACAACCCTGACCTATTCAGTCAGATTCACAAGCTACTTCTCAGAACAATGTGTGAAACGCGCTTATAAATAATATTTAGTTTGATTTTAGTATTTGATTAAGGTGCAGGAAAACACATGCTTGATAAAGTACTAATAGTAAGCCAGAATCAATCCAGCGAATCGGTTCCTTCGAGTAGTTTGTTTTCAAAAGCTGGTTTAAAAAAACAATTCAGCTATACGTAGTTACGTAATTGCGTCATAACCTGCGACTCCTGACACCCCAGCCTGGGATACATGTACAGGCGGTTTAATTACTTTTATTATTAAATTATGCCGTATTAAAAAGTGTTTAAGGGTTTCGTGTGTCTTGTTTTTTTTTCACCCAAAACAATTACAATAGCAAACCTGTTTTTTTTTTATTTATCTTAGACCATATCAATATTAACTCGTAGTGAACAAACGATATAATCAAATCGTACACACATATCTTCACATCAAATGTTGTTTCGGCTCATTGTGAATCATGAACGAATCGTTTTGTGAAGGTTCATCGAAAAGATTCGAACCAACAGAAAGATTCATTCATTTAAGAGACATCGAAAACATGCATCGAGCGTCCTCTTCGTTTCTTTTACACACAAACACACGCATATTCAAATATGTTTCATTGTATTCAACTGAGCGTATTTGATCATTTTTGCCATATTTATGAAATATGCAGGGATGTTTTCTGGAATAGCTTATGGCATGGCATTGTTTAAAAATAAAGAACTGCTTGAAACGAGTTGATGCAGGAAAACGAAATGTCTGTGCATGCAAATGACAGATTTATCTGTTTTCCAAAATGTCAATATGAAGCCAAGCAAGGAAAATTGGCATTCCCCATTCTCATCAATTGTCATATGCAAATTCCACTATAAAACGGAGTATTGTAACACAAAACTGGTTTATAATGTGGTTTATACTGCTCCATATTCCTATATCTGATTGTGTAATGTTTTAATAACCGTTATTATTCTCTACTTACTTTTAGTCAAATCCTCCGATGACCGATGGTAATAACTACATCAAACAGACAGAGCTGAGGAAATATTTCTGTAGAAAAGATAGCCAGGACGCTGGCCAGTCTCTGGTCGGATATTGACTTGTGAAAAAGTGAGGACACAGTGGAAAAGTCCTGACAGATAAACCGTGTCGCTTTGTCTTGATGTTTTCAGTGTGCTGCTGCGTAAATCACCAACTGTGCTCGTCACGTGACCACAGCTGATCACACTCACAACTCATTGATTGGAGATGTTTGCGTTTTGTTGCATTTTATAACTTTGCATTTTTATAAGTAACATTGTTTGTAAATTGGACGTGGACTTTTCAGCATAACAATGATCAGGCACCATTAACTGTAAGATAATTTTACGGCTTAATTTGCTGAGCCAGTGGATTCATTTTTTAACTTCCTGTAATGTTGCTCTTCTTTCGTGAAGTGTTACGTTTCTTCGACAACATTTGTTAAGGTTTTTTTAATTATATATATATATATATATATAT